TTATTTTAAAGTTGCATGTTATCCGTTGTCTTTTTCGTCCAGATATAGTCTTATAATATTTATTAGTGCAATGCATGATAAAGCTTTTAAATATATTTGTATAAGTTATAATATTTCTACATTTTGGACATTGAATATTATCACGAATAACTTGTTTATCAATAAGATACTGTATTAGAGCATCATAATTATATGTTAAATGAAGAAATTCGTGCAAATGCATTGTATTATTAACGAAATGCACTATTATTTGTACTAATATATTGAAAAGTAAGAACTTTACGCTTGGAAGAATTAAACAAGACTGTGTCATCATAAGAGTTCACTAGTACAGAAAATAATAAAAAATGAACATGAAATAGTATAAACATTGAGGGAAGGTATTCAAATGTAAACACAAAGCAATATTTCCGCGACCTGCTAACATCAATGTGTATGTACACGTGAAAGTTAACAATATATGTCTTGAAAATGTATTTTTAGCAGATTCATTTATTTATGTGTAGTAAATCGAATGCATGGGCCGAGGGAAAAGGAAAAGGTAAAACTTAAAAGTTTAAAATATACCAAAGTACATGCATGGACAGAAAGCACGCATACACACACACACACACACACACCCGGGGTGGGGGGGTGCAAGGGGGGCCTTCGGTCCCCTTCCCGCACCCGCCCCGCCGGTAGGCAGGGTGGACCTCGCTTTACAATGTAGCATGTACTTTGTTTTCCTGTCCGTGCATGTACTTTGGTATATTTCAAACTTTTTTGTTAATTACTTTTTAATAAACAACGAGCGACGATTAAATTAGAAGAAAAAGTTACTTAGAATTATGTCCTTGACAACATATGTCAAGGTCAAGGTCATCGGGGCTGGGTCACCTATTCTCTATATTTACCATATATATAATTAATATACTTTAATTAAATGTAATTTAAGTTATAATAACGACTTTTTTAAATTCTTTATATGAATTTAAACATTCTCTTAAATCTTTTCTAGCTTTCATTTCGTTATAATACATTTTTTTATTTTTTCCGTTAATTATTTAATATTTACATATGCTTTATAGTACTATATTACTGCTATTTTAAATACTATATATAAGTGCTATATTGTGAAGTTTTTCTCTTACTTTTATTTTTATTGTTATACATTATCATATATGTATTTTATGCATTTAATAAATTATTAATATGTGTTAGAGTTTTTATGTGTGCAATACACGTGCAATTATTTTTTAATCATTTTTTATTAACAAAGGGTTAATTTTATAAATAATTTAAAATGACAATAATAATATACGAGGTTAGTATAAAAAAGATTAGATTATTTGTGAAATAAATTATAAAGTGTACTTACGTCATCTAATATACCAAACACAAACTAAGCGTCGTAGCTGCCTGAAAATTGACACGTACGTCACTGGCAGTGCTACTAACACACAAAAAAAGAATCAACTCGATAGACAAGATACAGCGCACGCAATTTGAAAATTCTCGTTACTTTTTGATCACACCTCGTATGTGTTTGGGTTTTTGTGTGTGCAATACACATGCAGTTATTCTTTTATCGTTTTTTACTAACAAAGGTTAATTTTATAAGTAATTTAAAATGACATTAATAATATACGAGGTAAGTATAAAAAAAGATTAGATTATTTGTGAAATAAATTATAAAGTGTACTTACGTCATCTAATATAATTTTAACTGCTTCCTCCGTACATCCAGATATAGCTACGAGCATAGGTAAATTATCGTCTGCTCCATTATTAACTTTAACTGTTGGATTTGATTTCAGTAATATGTGACAATTAGCACCGCCAAATCCGAAGGAATTAGTACCGATATAACCACCCTTACATTCTGTCAGTTCAGTGACTATTTTTACTCTTCCTTCAATGATAGCAGTCATATCCTTTCGTGGATGTTTAAAATGTATAATAGGCGCTATTATACCAGTTTCCATTGCTATTAAAACCTTTATTCAAAAATAAAAATAAATTTAAATAAAAAATACTTGCACAAACTCACATGTAGCATTAGATTATACAGTTGTATTAATATTATTTTGTTGTAAATTTACCTTTGCAATGTGACAAAGGCCACTAGCAGCTTCTGGATGTCCAATATTCGACTTCACTGAACCCAATAATAGAGGAAGCTGTCTTTTAGCGCATAAAGCTTCATCGATGGCTTGAAGTTCCACAGGATCGCCGGCTAGAGTACCAGTTGCATGAGCCTCCATGTAAGATAACTCAAGAGGCGAAATATCACATTCTTCGTAAAATTCCTCCAGTAACATTTTTTGCTTGTCAACTGATGGAAAAGTAATTCCTTCTCTTTTGAAGCCATCGCAGTTGGTTTTACCATAAACAAAGGTCGCATAAATTCTTTTTGCATCCTTTGCTTTTTGTAGATACACTACTACAGCTGCATCACTACGCATGTAACCAGAGCCTTCTTTATCGTAAGGTTTACAGTAGCCTTCATTGGATAGAGCTCCTAAAACAATATCAGTAGTTTATTTGTTTCAATCAATATAGAAGATATAATTTTGTTTCCACTTTCCGAATAATATACCAAGTACTTAAAAAAGTTCGATGAATATATAAGCGAATTAATTATACCGTTCAAGAAACAACTACATTTGCCTAAATATGACTTAACAAACATTGATGAAATATTATTATTTTGATAAATGTATCAATAAATATTTATTTCATTTAACAATGCAACAACTTTGAACATATTAATATTATTTTTCACATACTATATATATATATATATGATATATAAAGAATGACAGTAAAAAAATTGCATTAATTAATTGCAATTAATTGCTAGCGCGATAATTTAAGCGCATATTTTATTTAAATTGTATTTCCTTCATATGATTATTATAATCAAATTATATTAACATAAGAAGTAGCGCTAGACTTAATAATAAAAATCGCTTTTTATTATTAAGTCTATTTTATTATGTTAAGGGGGGAGTCCAGTGTAACCGGGCGAGAAAAGGTTTTTTAGGAATTTTTTTTTTTAGAAGAGACTATGAATGATATTGGATTGATATTTTTGGGATATAAAAAAGCATTTTTAAGGAAGAAGAAGATATATTGGTTTTCTAATTTTTTTTATTTTTGTCATGTTGGTGTACAACTTTGTGACACGTTATCGGTGGCGCATCGGTTGTCGGCGTGCACTGTAGCTACGAGCTGAGTCATCTGAAAGCAAAAATACAATATTTCCTTTAAAACTTAGTCAATTACGAGGGGATTATACTAACTTGCAAGTAAAAATATTAAAAAATGAAGCAGTTACAACAATCGCAAGAAAAATGACATTTTTTCAACAAAAAATCAATTTTCTATTGTTGATAAAAATATTATAAATAAACAATAAAATTATAACAGTTAATATAATCCCTGAAGGGAACAATAAGGAATTGAACCAGGAATCGTATTTTGCAAAAATCATTTGGTTGATTACTTTTTGAGTTACCCTATACGCGCCAAATGTAAAATGTAATTTCGAAAAAAACGCGTTTAAAGTTTATCTCTTCGCTGTCAGACGAAAAAATAAAGTTTTGGATATTTTCACGATACTTACAGTTGAATAACGCTATTCCGAGCCCATATAGAATGCCTTTTTCTTCCTCGAAGAATTATTGTTGATTATTGAAAATTTCAATAATCCGATAGCCGGAAGTCTGACTTATAATAACATCGTTATCCGCAGTCTTCAATTTTTTGCCGCAAGACTTGTTGATTCAGTTTCCGTTTACCACAGTAAATCGGTTCCCGTGAAACTATTTTTTTCGCGGTCTTGCTGGGCGATAATTGTCTTCTTTAATACTTTTGCAAGGCATATTTTCAGCCAAATACATCCGTTCAAGCCGGGATTAAAAAAAAAACTAAGGACGGTTACTGGTGTCACTGTGCTAGCGAAACAAGTTTTGCACACACACACAATGCCGAGAAAACTGCGTAGCCGGTACGGCTTTATACCTATGGCAATCGCCTACTGTACGCGCGCGTCTCACTAAAGAGGCATTAGTTTATTCAATTTTATGTATTCGACAATAATACTCTGGAAACATTTTCTTCAAGCCTAATACTACTTATCCATACAAAAAAAATTTATTTGTTTGGACAGTTACACTGGGCTCTCCCCTTAATCTAATTTGATTATAATAAAATATGTGCTTAAATTAACGCGCTGGCTCTTAATTGCATTTTTTTACCTATATTATCTCACCTAATTATATATATACAGGATGTTTATTTGAAAACTTTCCATCCTATTTATTTTGTGATCGACCAATTTTTGCGAAAATTGTTTCATACAAAAGTTTAATGACTTTGAGGGGGACATAAAATGGCAACATTGGTTTGACCTTGGATAGTTATTTGAAGATCACATGAAAGTCGCCTTCAATTTCTTAAATGGAAACCCCCATTTTTCATTGCATATTCTTGTAACTTACCTATCTCAAAAATGCTTTGCTTTCGAGATTTAAGAAAAATGTTTTAAATAAAAATTTTATTTGAAACATTTATTTGAAACATTTTTTTCAAATCTCGAAAGTAAAGCATTTTTCTGAAATCTCGAAAGCAAAGCATTTATCTCAAATCTCGAAAGTAAAGCATTTTTGAGATAAATGTTTCAAATAAAAATTGTAGGGTTTTAAATGGCGCATTAGGTAGCAATGTTAATGTGATTTTAAATAACATTGTTAAGGCCACATAAAAATCATTTTCGAATAATACTAATGCTGACGATACTGTACATTTCAAGCCTCATAACTCGGAAAATACTTAATAGAAAAGAACTTTATTATAGTGTTTTAAAAAACACTCGAAATAAGCTACAAGAATATGCAATGAAAAATGGAGGTTTATATTTAGGAAATTAAAAGTGACCTTTATGTGATCTTCAAATAACTATCCAAGGTCAAACCAATGGCGCCATCTTATGTCCCCTTCGAAGTCACAAAACTTTTGCACGAAACATTTTTCGCAAAAACTAATTGATCACAAAATAAATAAGGTGGAAAGTTTTCAAATGAACCTGTATATATAATTATTGAAAGACATAAAGTGTAGCATTTTATCATTAAGAGATAGAAAAGATTTTCAAATTTTGAGTTTCAAGATATAGAAAAGCAGATTTAACAAAAAAATTAGCAGAATAAAAACATAGCACAGATGTTTAGAATATTTAGACCAAAAAGGAAACCGATAAAAATATAAACTTTATTTTATGTATGCTCTAATTGGTAATTATTCAGAATCACGGCTTCTGTAAATGGGCTGCAAATTTTTTTGATAACTTTTTATACTTAGAGAATAATGTAAATAACAATTTTTAATCGGGAGGCGGCTCAATAGATATTTTCCAAGTTATCAAGCTTGAAAGGTACAGTACCGCCAGCATTAATATTACCCGAAAGTGATTTTTATATGATCTTAACAATGCTATTTGAAGTCTTACTAACATTGCTACTTAATGCGCTACTTAAGACTTTTTAATTTTTATTTCATACATTTTTTTCAAATCTCGAAAATAGAACATTTTTGAGAAAAATGTTTCAAATAAAAGTTTTATTTCAAACATTTTTCTCAAATCTCGAAAGTAAAGCATTTTTCTGAAATCTCGAAAGCAAAGCAGTTATCTCAAATCTCGAAAGTAAAGTATTTTTGAGAAAAATGTTTTAAATAAAAATTGTAGGGTTTTAAATGGCGCATTAGGTAGCAATGTTAATGTGATTTTAAATAACATTGTTAAGGCCACATAAAAATCATTTTCGAATAATACTAATGCTGACGATACTGTACATTTCAAGCCTCATAACTCGGAAAATACTTAATAGAAAAGAACTTTATTATAGTGTTTTAAAAAACACTCGAAATAAGCTACAAGAATATGCAATGAAAAATGGAGGTTTATATTTAGGAAATTAAAAGTGACCTTTACGTGATCTTCAAATAACTATCCAAGATCAAACCAATGGCGCCATCTTATGTCCCCCTCGAAGTCATAAAACTTTTGCACGAAACATTTTTCGTAAAAATTAATTGATCACAAAATAAACAGGGTGGAAAGTTTTCAAATGAACCTGTATATATAATTATTGAAAGACATAAAGTGTAGCATTTTATCATTAAGAGATAGAAAAGATTTTCAAATTTTGAGTTTCAAGATATAGAAAAGCAGATTTAACAAAAAAATTAGCAGAATAAAAACATAGCACAGATGTATAGAATATTTAGACCAAAAAGAAAACCGATAAAAATATAAACTATATTCCATGTATACTCTAATTGTGCGCACAATATTGTACACATGATTCGGTTACATACATTCAGTTACATAGAAATAATCTTTGAAATAATTTAGTCAAAAATAAAAACAAGCTGAAAATTGTGCAAATTAGAAATTTGCACATTACTTCTTCATAAAAGAATTTTATTTTGCTCACAAAGCTTAAGCTCCTTAAAGCAAGCGAGTTTTTCAATTTTGGCTTTGTCATAGAGGAAGCAAATTCAATAACAATTATTCTTTAATGATATTCTATTCATATAAAAAAATTTAATTTGATATCTTAAAATTTGCAAAAGTTAAGACGTGTATAGACATTTCTCAAAAAATTCAAAATTTTATAAAAAATGTAGTTTTTTTCCATTCCCCACTAAATTAAATATCAAACATTCTTTAATAATACTCTATTCATGTAAAAAAATTTAACTCGATATCTCAAATTTTCCGAAAGTTACATCGCGTACAGACATTTCTCAAAAAATTCAAAATTATATAAAAAGTGAATCCTTTCATCAATACTCACCAAATTCAGTACCAACTATCTTTTAATAATACTCTATCCATGTAAAAGATTTAACCTGATATCTCGAAATTTGCGAAGTTACAACGTGTACAGATAATCCTCAAAAAATTAAAAATTTTATAAAAAATGAACCTTTTTATCGATATTCACCAAATTCAATACCAACCATCTTTTAATGATATTCTATCCATGTAAAAAAAAAATTAGCCCGATATCTCAAAAATTGACGAAATTAGAGGTTATACAATATATTACGTACACACATACACATACATATATACATACATACATAGACATTTTTTAGGAATATGATTTTTCGACGTTTTAGAACATTCTAAACACATTGGCATAGAAAACTCGAAAAAAATTTTGTCACGAAAACAAAGCTTCCTCTATGAAAAAGCAAAAAGAAATATGTGAAAAAAAGCAAGAGGTATTTATACTCACCAAGTTCAATTTTCAAATAATTTTCTATGAAATTAACAGCAGCTACGACTTTATTAAAAGCAGGACTTTATAAAACTGGCTACGATGACAATCTATATCATAGAGCAAAAATGCTATACTATCTGTTAAATTAGATGTTGTGTCCGTAGTCGCCAAGGAAAGATCTGTTTCTGGGATCTGTTCGCCCATAAAAAGAGATATATTTATCGTAGCTTTGTAATATATTATAC